CAATATTAAAAGGACTTTTAGGGAACTGGAGCCTTGATGTGCTAAATGACCTGGGCGCATGAATATCTAGAAGAGAGCTTTGTCACCAAAGAAAAAATAAGAACAAAAATCACCATTTCTTTCCTCATTTGAGAAGCTCAAAGCCAGTCCTTTCCTGGTGCGCACAGGCAGGTAGCCAAGGGATGCATGCTGGTTTGTTTCCCCTCCCTCTTGTGTTTTGCCATGTGCCAACCTGGCCGAGAGCCGGAAGCCCGTACACCAGCTGCACAGTGGCTGAGATTGTCATTACTGCATTCAAAGAGAAGTCAAGAGGAGTGATTTGAGCAAATGTTTTGCCTGGAGAGAGAAAAGAAAGGAAGTCCCCCTCCTCTGGTTAGCAACCAGCAGACAAACCACAAATCCAAATATAGTAGCGAACACTTGCTTCCTTAATTACCCCCTACCCAGTAATTATTTCTTTCTCCTGACGTCCCGCCCACCACCCTCCTGAACCCCCAGCATTCGGTGGTACAAACTGGAAGGTTGAAGCAGACTCGGGTCCTCCGACTACCTGTCTTTTCTGAAATGTTGCAAGGTTGATGTGAATAAGTAGACTTTCTAAAGTTACCATTTTAACATGAAAGAAAAGCATAATAGAACGAATTAATAATGCAGAACTGAAAAGGGTTTTGTCTGAAGATGAACAGCTAGCTGGCAGATCCCTTTCTTGAGAGTAGGGCTAGTGAGGAGAAGTATTGGGGGGAAGCTTGTTGATCCACTGAAGGACCCCAGCCACTCACCACTCTGGCTGCAGTTGGACTCAGTCGAAGTGACCAGTCAGTGGATCACAGGAGGTCAGTGGATCACCTCTTTGTGTCCTGAGAAGTTACTAGTGACATGATTTCCCAGGGAACCATGGCTGAAACTAAACCATCAACTGCCGTGGCCAAGCAAGGTGACAGAGGGACATACTACCACGCGGTGACACCTCAGACAGCACCACTATTGTTTGCTGCTGTGGCGTCTGCTCAGCTCACAGCCACGCCCTGCGCAGGGGAACAGAAGGCTTCCTGCTCCGGCACCAGCTCCCTGCTCAGTTGCAGCTTGGCTCCCACGATGCTTAGGGTTTTCATTCATGGGTGTGGGGGAAGGAGATCACCTTATCTGGAAACTACCAAGAAACTGCCCGGCAACGTAACAGCATGTCAGCCATCACCGGCAGGTAGATGATTCCTATGCAGGCAGTGCATTGAGTGGGAATCACACCCCGCTCTCCCACACAGAAGGCAATACTTCTGCCACTGGCAGTTTACCAGTGTCCCCCCAAAGCACCATTTTTTTCAAAACCCAGATTCCCTGTCTATTCTAACTCATAATAAGCCTATTGGACAGAACAGAACTGCCCCTGTGGGTTTCCAAGTCTATGAATCTGTATGGGAGCAGAAAGCCTCGTCATTCTTCCTCAGAGCAGCTGGTGGGTTAATGATATTGACCGTGCGATTAGCAGCCCAACACATACCCCACTGTGCCACCAGAGCTCCAAGAAGCAGTAGGATCTAGAAATTTGGTTTGGGATGTTCAAGACTCATGGATCTAAATTCTACATCTCCTACTGATTGACTCTGTGACCCTGACCAAGGTATATAACCTCTCTGAGCCTCAGTTTGCACATGTGTAAAATGGAGCGAATGACTGCATTTATGTCAGGGGTGCTGTGAAGTCCAAGATGAGTACTTAGCTTTTCATGACTATAGAACAGCACTGTAGTCATTAGTGTTCCGATTTTTTTTTTTTTTTTTTACTAACTCATTTTCCGGTCCTTCTTTACGTGTTCTTAAATATGCCATCTTCCAACTCTCTCCCATTTGGTGATGGAGTGCTGGAACGGCGGCAATATGAGGACCGTAGAGTCATCAGCCATTTGAGATCCAAAGGGCAGGGCTTCCCCAAGGACAAAGTTCAGATGGGTTAGGACAGGAAGAGGGATGGACACAGGAAACACAGGGAAGGAGGGAGGAATGATGTAACGTGGGGTTTACAATCAATGAGATGAAACAAAATGTGCATAAGTTATTGAATACCTGATCTATAAACCGTCACCCAATTCACAACAAATAAATTAGGAATCCAGAAGAGGTACTAAACTGGACATCTTGCTGGGTGAACAGGCACAAACTAGGACTATATTGAGTACACTGTGATGTTTGTTTGCCCCAGTTTAAAGAAGCAAGGAAGCTCACATTCCAATGTTCTCTCTTGACACTGCCCCGTGAGGCAGAAAGAGATGTGGCAACTTGAATGGCAGTGTTGCGAAGGTCGCCTTGTTGGAGACCTTACCATTCAAAAGCAACTACCCATGTAGGAGTTGTCTCCTTTCTTTTCAGCAAGACCTCATTTGGGCTTATGTAGCTGTGTAGCCCAGTGTTTCCCTCAGAAATGGGAGTTCTTGGCTCCCAGTTCTTCCCATTTGGCAAGAAGGGTTTCTCTTCTGAAATGGTTCTCTATAAAAATCACCTTGTTGGATGTGTTACTTACATGGAGAGTGACTTTGGAGACTGACGAGGGTAGATGGATGTATAATGGCTATAGGGTTACATGACCATTGGGAGCCACAGACAAAGTGGTGAATAGAATTTTTAAAACTCCTTCTCATTTTTAAATTACCATGGAAAAGATTAAAGACAAAAGGCATTATACATTACTTTTCAGCCAAAAAAAAAAACTAGAAGCAATGGTATATAATTAATGGCACCTTGTCTTATAATAAGCCCATCATGTCTGTGACATTGTGAGAAACACTCAATGGTTGGGGCCCATCCCTGCCCAGAGGGACGGATGGATCCATCAGTGCAGAAATCCATCTAGCCTGATTTACTAGCTGTAGGGCTTCGGTATAGAACCAGACGTTCCTCCCACATGATGTTTCTCCCAGGGGACGTGGTGCCCTCTGTTCAGCTTAGCTTACCATCCATGACTCTGAGGCTGTGGCACATGATGTGCTGAGGAAGTGCTGAGGATCCTTGGCCAAAGCAATTAACAGTCCCCTTACCTTTCTCTGCAGTTCTTACTCAATCTTAAACACATCATCTCCCAACTCTCTCCCGTTCGGTGATGGAGCACTGGAGCAGCGGCAATTCAATGACCAAGGACTGGGGGAGCCGACTCCCCTCACTATCATTTGCCAGCCCATGCAGGTAAGGCTGGTCAGTAGGGTCACCTCCTCAGCCCTAACCATTTATTGATGAAGTGACAGCTGCTGCCTCCCAAAGGGTTCTTGATCTGTCTACACAGAATCCAAAAGATACACAACAATCGAAGGCGAGGAGGAATCAGAGGAGTGGTACAGCAATGACTACTGGTATTTAAGTCTAGATTAATAAGAAAAGCTGTTTCACAAAGAAGGGAGAACATTTCAACAGCAAATCAGAGATAATGCCCATAGGTTCTTGTGAAAACTAAAAGGAAATAGTAAGAATAAGGCTCTAACCCCAGTACTTAACAACATACAGTGAATGCTCAATCTACATTACCTTTGCCAAGAAAAATCAGAGAGGGGGAGCAGCAGGGGAGTAGCTGGTGAACGGTGGAGTCAAAGGCAAGTGGGAAGTGCAACCATATTGAGGATCAAAAGGGGCAACCACTGTGGCGAGCGTCCAAATTTGACTCAGGAAACAAAAGGAGAATGCATGGACAAGACCAAGCTACTGATCTCAAGAGAACCTTATCGAGAAAATGGAAAGCACATGTAATACACGGGCTGCCACACACCTGGCAACATTAAGGGACCTGGGAGGAGCTGACTCCATCAGAGAGGGAATGTAGAAAGAGCGTCAGGATCCACCCAGCAGTTGTGGCAATCACGGTCAACTGGACATGCCTTGCCTAGACTTGCTGATTCACTCACCCATAGGTGGCAACTGTCCCCGCTCATTTGTTTCTGAGAACACAAGCATGGATGTAGCCGGTCTGTATGCTATTCCTACGAAGACAAGAGCAACTGTCATTCCATTTTGATAACCCTTCTTCGATTGAGAAACACCTGCAGGTCATCACCTCATTTAAACTTCAGAAGAACTTATGAGGTCTGTAATGGGAGCCTGACTATTCCCATTTCACAGATAGGCCAACTAAAGCCCAGGTAGTTAAGGCATGTATCCACGTCATACCTGCACAGAACCCAATGTTAGATTACCCATGAGCAAAGTAAACACCGGCTTACTTAGGCTTACTGAGTAATCTGTAGTGAATATTTTCTCATGTTTCACATCAAAGATTGACTTCTAAATATGGCCAGTATCAGTCCTTCTCCCAGCCTCACAACATCTTTTTATAGATCCGAGTCTTTTCAATTTTGCAGTCCCTGACAGGGAAGAATACCCAGTAAGCAAGGTCAGCACGAGCTTACTTGCACTGATCTACTAAGCTGTAGTGGAATGTTTCACACGGTGTGGTGGAAACCTGTGAGACCCTGCATCTTTAGTAAGTAAGCCCGCGTTTAGCGCGATCACTGCATAGTCCACCTCTGATGGAGCTTGTGGTCGAGCTCAGCTCACTTGGCACCTGGCTCTTGGGTACCCCTTTTTGCTGTGATGTTTCTCCACTAATGGACTTTCTCTCTATGCAGCCTCTGAGAGTCAACAGCCAACCTGGCCCTCAAAAGCGGTGCCTCTTTGTGTGCCGGCATGGTGAGCGAATGGACGTTGTGTTTGGGAAGTACTGGCTATCCCAATGCTTTGATGCCAAAGGTGAGTGCTTGGTCAGCCTGCTCAACATTGACATACCTCCCATGGCCTCTAGGGGTCACAGTTAAGCTACATTTATCTGGATTACTCAGGCTGTGTGCTATGAAAATGGCTGCAATGTGTTGCACCATAAGCGCTTCCTAAATAGTTTTGAGCTTTAAGGAATGGCTAAATGTTCTGGCTCCCAGTCTACAAATTGGGCTGCCAGAGACAAAGCAGGCGGCTCTCTTGCTACAGTGGAATGGCAAAGTCATGAGGGGTGGAGGCTGAGGTCCATGGCCACTGCATCGCCGGACCTGTTTCCATTTCCTTTTCCCTCGAGCAGCACATGTAGCGCAGACGGTTTGCGCATCAGAGAAGCATGCTCATGTCCCTGGATCTGGTTGTCACTGCCATTGGAAAGTCACCTCTTAGCACCTTTGCTAGCAGAATAGAAGAGTGTCCACTAAGATACTATCAAAGACAGGCTCAGCTTCAATATTCGCCATCTGTCTCCGTCTCTTTGCACCAAAATAGAAATGATATTCGGGGCAATCGTAAGGAAGCAAGAAATCCATGTAGCCTTTCTCTGATTTTGTTTTTCCCAGGTCGTTACATACGCACCAACCTAAACATGCCTCACAGCTTACCTCAGCGGAGCGGTGGCTTCCGGGAGTACGAGAAAGATTCCCCAATCACTGTGTTTGGGTGTATGCAAGCGCGATTAGTGGGTAAGGGTCTTCGCTTGATTGCACAGCCTCTCCCAGCTAATTCTTTCAAAGACCAATCCCACTGGGGCATACTTCCTGGGGGCATTTCTATAGTTTCCCTACAACTAACCTTTCCTCAATTCAAGTAACTTGTTAGACAGTCATTAAATAGAGGACATTGGTTGGCCTTCGATGGTTTACCAAAGTAAACAAGCTGCAGTACCAATCCCAAGGTCTGTGATGAAAAAGGCCCGTATGAGTTACATGCTGGCCAGCAGACCGGACAGCCTTCCAGGTCAAGACCACAGCATCTGCCCACCCAGCTGAAGAAAAGAACAGCATGAGGGAGACAGAGCACAGGGCCAGGGGCATTTATATGGCCAGTTGATTCTTTGAAGAGGCTCAGTTCTTTTTTTTTTTAAAATCATTTTATTGGGGACTCATACAACTCTTATCACAATCCATATATACATCAATTGTATAAAGCACATTTGTACATTCGTT